GTAAATACATTTGTACCACCACATTGTGAATAAAATATCTAAATTCCTTTTCTAGTCATTATAAATGAAGTCCACATACATTGAAATTAGCAAGCAGATAAAATGGATTAGACATAATTCATCTGAATATAAATGCATTCATACGATATGCAAGGTGAATTATTAATACTATCATGCATATTTAAAATTAAAATGAGTTTGTTAACCACATAATATAATAAATCTCAATTGAACAAGAGATCATTATTATTATTGGTGAACAATCCCTTTTAATTAATGCGAGTCCCTCAACTCTGTAGCATAATAAATCAACCAATCAATATGTCAATAATTTATCCTGTTGTAGGAGTTAATTATTACTATTGTTGAGATTCATTTACTATTAGACGAGCACTTCCATTAAAATAGTATGTGGGTCCCTTAACCACTGCATGAAAAATCGGATAACCAATACACCAATAACTTATTCGGTTGGCGAAGTTCATTATTGCTATTAGCGGGCAAATCCCATCATCTCCATATCTCTTAAGACAATGCCTTGTCTATCTATATGAAATGATTCCCGATTATGTTTAGCCTTTCTAAAATCACCTAGTGTAGACCACTCCGTTGGGGAGCTAACACTATTAATTTTAGATTGAGTGTCTAACGTTATTAATGCTCTAATGAAAAATAAAATATTAAATATCTTGTCATTATAATCTAGACTCTTTAAATCATGCGTAGGGCCTTATTTTTAAAGATCTAATTACAATGAACATTTAATATTATTATTTTTATGAGATAACCATTCTTGTAATATTAAGACTCTTCAAATCATGCGTGGGGTCTTATTTTTGAAGACCTAATTACAATGGTATTAATAACGAAGGCCATGGGGCAATGTATAAAAAACCCCGCTCCCACTCAATTTTTAATCATCCATAATTAGGGTTTTCATTTTATTCATTTACATGATATAATGCATGCAAAACGTCTTGATTTTAATCCAATTAAATTTAGAAAATATTTGGACTTTAAACGATTCACTAATATTTAATTTGAAGCACACTTTAAAAATAATTTACAAAAAATAATTTTGCGTTTCCCAATAAGTGCCCTCAAATGAATTAGTAATCAGATCCAATTAATTTTCATAACTTAATTAATATAAATCAAGCCATTTAAATAAATATCATGGATCCAATGCATGAATAATAATAATAAACAATTAATTATTCCATGCATCAGTTAAATAAATAAATAATAGACAGAAGCAATTTAAATGGCCAATGGATTCAGCTTTTAACATTTAGTTACTCTAAGTATTGTACGGGCGTCCTTCAACAGTCCGTCAACACCTATAGGAAGCTGGTACGCGTTAGGATAAGCAAAACGCCGCTTGGAACGCGCCCGGATGATCCTACACGCACTGGCATGCGCCTAGGGAAGCTGGTATGCATCCCCACGCGCTTGGAATAGCCATAGGCGCGTGGCACGCGCCTTCATGCGCTGCCACGCGCCGGTGACATCATTGGGCGCGTGGCACACGCCATCACGCGCTACCACGCGCGTTGAGCTTCTGAATGTACTGGCGCGTGTTCCTCACGCGCCAGCTTTGTTCCTAAGGTGCTGATTGCACCATCCCACGCGCCACATGTGATAAAAGCTCCTATGTTGATTTAATCCAGCGGTAACTCATCAGGTTGCATAGTATGATTGTGTACCGCGTCACACCTGATTGATTAAGACTTCCAGCAGTACCTCTCGCCGCCGGCTAGCCTCCGGTCACCGGAAAATCGCCGAAAAATACCAGAAATTAAATAAAAAAAACCAGAAATTAAATTAGGCCTTAAAAAATTCCAGAAAAATTCTGAAAAATTTCTAAAAAATCCTAGAAAATTCCTGAAGCCTAATTTAACCCTCTCGGACCTTCTTGAAGCTTCATAACATCCTTTGATGAAGATTACATGGCTTTAAATAAATTTACAATTTGAAATACAGTGGAAAAAATTAAATTACATCATTGAACTTTCAAACGGCTAAATCAAAGCCTTAATTACATTCATCCAAAGATAAAATTACATTCCAATAACCTATAAGCTTCATCCATGGCCCAAACATTCATCAATATTCATCCAATCACAAATATACATACATCATGATCATATAAAAATATATACATATGCATATATAAATTTGGATCCATGAATGATGATTTTCATAAAATCATGATCTCTAGTAATGAATCAAACCATGCTCTGATACCACTGTTGGGAAACGTACAAGTTTTAAAAACTTTTCGAGGGATTTTGATTCATAGATCTTGATTCATCACATAGAGACAAGTTTTATGCAAAAATAAAAATATGATGTATCATTCAATTAATGGATTGAATACTTACATCAAAGGTCTGAGTAAACCTTTAAAACTTTCCTCTAAAGTGAATGTTCTCACTTATTGTAGATCCCTTAGCAAGATGCCTTCTCCTTGGATCTCCATCTTCTTGGTAATTATTTTGCCTTTAGAAATCACTCATAAGCCTCCATGAATTACCTTGGAAAATTAGGCTTGTGGGAGCCTCCATTAGATGAGAACATAAACCCTAATTTTCTAGAGAGAGAAAATTTATTCCTTTTTCCTTCTCATAAAAATTACCCCCTAAAATATACATAAACCATGTATATTTATAGGCAACATAAAAATAAAGAAAAGGAAACAACAAATCCTTCTCTATCTCTAATTCATATGTCTCAAATCTAATATAATTCCAATATCAAGTTGGGCTATGAGTGAGAATCCATTGGGCTTATTATTTTATTGGCTACAATGAATTAATAATTGGCTCGGTCCATGGACCCAATTCAATTAATTCATAAATTAATTTCTACTCCACTAAAAGAAATTAATTGAACTCCAATTAAATAATAAATAACCTCTAAGTCAATATTGCACTTTGACCCCTCTATGCATAATTAGTTATCGGATAAATAAAGCCATCAATCCGACTACTTAATTAATATATCTATTTTGGTACCTCTGATTATTTCTGGCTCGATCACAATAAAACATTTGTTTGACAAAAATAATAATTTAAATAAATAAATATATAATAAATCATTTTGTCTAAAAACACACGAAGGCCTTCGAATTTACTTTGTGATCAACCATAATCAATACAAAATAAATACAAGTAGCAATGATGCAAGTATTGAAAATATAACCCTCTAACTATTAATTACATAACTACCCAAAGTGTCGGTCTAAGGATCCCGAAGAATCCGCCGAACAAATCAAAGTAATTATTAATTAATAAAAGAGTCTATACTTTTCTCATGCTTAAGAGTCAAATGCCATGACGGTGATAGGGAGTAATTGCATACGACGGCTCTCGCAATATATCTCAACCTAACGCGGATCCAGTTCGAGTCTTAATTAATTATGAGTCCATCCATAATTACCGACTATGAACAATTTATAATTACTATTTATATATCATGCATTGATTGCCATCACATACATATATATAAATATTTCTTGTAATTACATGGACACTATCAATCTTATAGTGAATCGAAACATAATACATTGAATTCACCAATTATATAAATCATAAATATTTTAGATATGTCAGGAACATATGTCACTATAATCCAGATAGGAATTTGCTATGCCAGGGCATATAAATCCCAACAGAAGCAACCTCTACTTCACTGCATTTACTTGCTCCATATTTTGTGCATTTACTTGTATTTTTTGAAAATGCAAGTAGTACAAGTAATTTCATAATTTGTTGAATATATGCTTAATTTGATTAATTTATTTGTGGAAATGCTAAAAATTATTCTAACCCTGATTGATTTCTTAATTTTATTTGAATTTTCTTAGTTGAGTGAATACATAAATGATATATTGAATTGAGTTATGTTTATATATGACATTACTTAGTTTGCACTGTGATGTTACTTATAAATGGGAACCCCACTGCAGGTGATATACTGAATTGCGTTATGTTTATATGTGACATTACTTAGTTTGCACTGTGATGTTACTTATAAATGGTGGTGAAATGTTAATTATAAGTAGTGGTGCAATTGGCCAAACACGACCTTAGTATCCGTTAGTTGAAGAATGATGTGGCCAAATATGGACCACTTAAAAGTTACAGCAGGAAACCACATGGGAACCTCACTACAGGTGATTCGCGCCGCAAAAACAGCAGGAGAACATCAGGCCAGCTCAGTTCGAGTACACCAGGAGGAGAGACCTTATATATATATATATATATATATAATCTCTCAGTACATGAATCTTTTGTTATGATATGGAGTCATTATACATTGATTTTGGGATGGTGATTTGTTTGATTCTTTAGTGCTATTAAATATTGAATGATTTTTTTTTAATATAATATTGTTATTTAGACATTATTCAATAAGCTGTTATTTGTTATTTGGATGATGCAGCTTCATTGTTAGTTCATTATCTTTCTAGAGTTTGGTTTTGGATTGGGGTTGGTGGTGGCGGAGTATGGGGGTTTGGATTGGAAATGGCCATGGAGTTGGTTGTGGTGGGTGGAGACAGAAAAAGAGAGGGATAGGGAAGGGTATTTTTGTCATTTGAAATATATATTTTTAATTTGATGACCTACAAGGATATTAGTCTTTTCTATTTAGTTAATGGGCATTTTGGTCACTTCAAATTAATTTTTTGATTTTTGTTGTTGATTGTCCACCTAAAGAGACTTCATAAATTAGAGGAGAACAAATTTACAAACACACTAGAAAATCACAGCTTCACCAAATGAAAACTTATTAAGATGACTATTAGCCAGTGCTATACTTGAATGTCTAAAAAACATTTAGTATAGAACATTCTGATAAATGAAAACCTAAGTCTTATAGATAATATTCTATTTTCTCAACACAATACCTCATCCCTGGTAGAGAAAGCTTTGAAATTCATCTATCAAAACAATCAAGAAGTTGAAAGGCATGGCATGGAGATGGATAAATCCCATTTAGATAAACAAAAGGAAAGAACGGTTTTTATGTGCACAAAAGAAAATCCAAAAGGAGCTTTATGTGTATCTGCAACTACCCGAATATACAAAAGATAAATAGAGACTAAAAATCCTGCAACTCCCCCTCCTCCTATACTCTTTACAAAGGAGGAATCTGCACTTTATCAAGCAAAATTTGAGCTCCCATGTCCAAAAAACAACTAGCTCAACAGATACTCAGAGCTCACAAGCACAAAAATCACATTTTTACATGATCATTAGTGGAATTAGTAATGTGGGAAAGGGTCATCTCTAGCAGGCTGAGATTCCTCCTCTGCTTGTAACACTTTAAATGGCCATTTCCAATGTTGACGCTTTCCTTGTGAACTGCATGTTCAACAGAGCATTCTAAACTGATTTCACTTTGGCAAGGTACGGACTCGAGAGAAGTCGATTGACTCACCTGTGGATTTGGAAACAAACTGACAATTTATTAAAAGACATGAGACTAAATGAAAATGATATAATTAATGTAAAAATGCTGCAGGAGGTGTGCAAGTACCAGAACCACCATAGGAGCAGCGTCACCGTTACTGCCATTGCCTCCAACAATACTGGCCAAAGTCACAATGGTAAATTAAGTTAATCAGCATTTTCAGTAAAATATGGATATTTCTTTCCAACTATTTCAGAAATCCACCATTTACAAAAGGAGGTACATTGTCTGTTCATGCATTCTATTACAGGTGGATTCCTTCCACCACCTTCTCAACTAACAAAGAACATACAGTTTTACTTCTTAATATCTAAAACCGCATGAAAGAGAGAGAATCACCAACTTCAATTGAGGAATTGAATTCTAGCACTGGATTTATTAACGAACTACATTATTCCATATCCCAATATTAATTTAAGAAGTCGGAAAAAAAAAAAAAAAAAAAAAAAGCATAACCTTTTCAACCAGCCTTTAACTCAATTACAATATGAAAATAATGCTTTAATTGAGTTCTAGGCAGGTTGACTGGTTTATAGTCTTCACCTAGGCCTTAGTATGGTTAGCGTAAAAAAATGTCTCGTTGGATAAGCAGTGAAAAAGCATATATGATTTTTTTTTTATAAGTAAAAAAAGCATATATTATAATACAAGTTTATATGATAATACAAGTTTCCTACATAATTATAAATAAGACTAATATATCATGCTTATCTTGTTACATGATGTACTTCAAACGATTGGCTACGCATATTGCATACACTAATACGTAAAAATGTCTTCTTATACTATATTTGAAAAACAAAAAAGATTTTTATGAAATATGAATCTCTAGCCATTGTACTAATGTCTTTGGTTAGGGTATTCGATCATTTGACACTTTACCCGTACCAGATCACATAACTAGTCCATGTAACCTACAGACCTTCAGTTTACAAGATTGATGCACCATGGTTGATGATAGAATTGTTAATTAGATGGTTTTCACATTTAAATTCTTTTCTTTCTTTTTTTTTTTTTTCTCTCTCAAACTTCAAACAACACCAATTAGTCTTCAAATTTTACAAATTCATCAATTAAAATTCAGCTCTAAGACTTCCGAATTTAATTTTCAATTTTTGTCTAACAACACTGAAAGAGCAAAAAGTGGACCGGGCCATCTTTGGCCGGCCCACTCAGTCCAGAGCATTACTAGGCCGTTGGGCCAATAAAAGAGAGTCTCGTTAGGCCCAAAGAGCCATTGGGCAACCTCCAATCCCAATCTGTTCAACATTATGAAAGGGCCTTTCACGCACTACGGCCCAAGGATAAGATCCATTGAAACAACATTATGAAAGGATCTTTCACTCACTACGGCCCAAGGATAAGATCCGTTGAAAGTAGGCCCAGGTTTGAGAGTTTTGGGAGAGTTCCTAGGCCAAATGTACACTTCTATAAATAGAAGTTAGAGAGATGGAAAGAGGCAGATTATGTGAAGTGTAAAAGAATACTTTCCAAATACAGAGAATGATTTCTTGCATCTTCATCTGCCGCCGTCTATGGGAAAGAAGAGTAGATCCGATTGATTTTCAGCACCAAATGACACAACTCCACTCGAGAACAATAATCAGAGGAGAAGGCTCCCGGTAGCAAAAGGAGGACCAGCAAACCAGTCATGATGAGTTGATGAACGTCATTAAAACCCTACGGCGAGAGAACGCAGAGCTCAGGGTCGGATTGGAATGACGAGAAGCTCCGCAGCTCCCCCGACCACCAGCAATGAATGAGAAAGCGGGGCCGCCGAACATCAACCGTTGGGTGGAGAGAAAAGGATCCATTCATATGGACCCGCATCATGGTAGACTCAGGCAGGAAGAAGAGATAGAGCGTAATGCGACTGACCCTTCATGGCAAAAGGAATCTACCGCAGATAAGGTGTTTGACGATTTGCGTCAGTCGACGATGAGCACCCATGACTAGAGGGCCACCAGAAGGCAACAAAATGAGTAGAAGGCACCACCGATGGACAACGAGGCCCTTCGAACTTCAGCCCGGATAGCCGACTCGCCATTTACGGAGGAGATCTTGAGAGCACCAAAGCCCAGAAAGTTTTCGATGCCGACGGTCACCTTGTTCTACAGGACAAAAGATCCAACAAAACATGTCTACCAGATCCAGCTGAAATGTCCCTGGATACAGGAGATGACGCTTTAATGTGCAAGGTCTTCCAAATGAGCCTCACCGGACCGACACTCAACTGGTTCAAGCACCTATCAAGGGGAACAGTTGGAAGTTTCTGAGCACTCTGCGACCTGCTCTTCAGTCAGTACTTCGACAACAAGTGAATGGAAAAGGATATAACGTGTTTGTTCATTATGCGATAACAGGAAGGCGAGCGTCTTCAAGCCTTCCTTACCCAGTTCAATTTAGAGAAGAGTATGGTGATTGAGTGCCATCCTTCATCAGCAGTGCAGGCGTTCAAGCTTGCTATGATCAGAGGGACTCCGTTTCACACATCTTTGGTTGTGCAGAAGCCCAAGACTATGGATGAACTAAATACTAGGGCACAAGATTATGTGAGACTGGAGAACGATGAAGCTGTCAACATAAGGAAGACGACGATGGTCACTGTGGAAAACATATCCAAGACCAGAATGATAACTAAAAAACCATCAGTGACACCCCCATAAGCAACTCCTTGGAGGGCAGAGAAGAGGCCACGTGAGGATGAAATGGTCACTTCCCCTCAAAGTTACCTTGGCACGTTTGTATACCAAGAGAATAAGATGATGTTCAGTCCGCCCCAATCGATCAAGTAACCACTCGAGCAACGAGATCAACCCAATCACTGCGCGTTCCATAGCGATTTTGGACACCAAACGAACGAGTGCAGAAACTTGAGGAGATAGGTTGAGATGCTAATTGCGAAAGGTGAGTTTGCCACTTATGTCCAAGGCCAGGAAAAGGAGCAGAACCGTCCGGCTGATCAGATAAAGAGGAACCAGAGACCGAGCCCCCAGGACGCTGAGCCGGTTCAAGTCACAACTGATATACATGGCCGACCAGAGGCAGAAGACGAGTCAGAAGAATTACAACGGACACGCCTCCGTCAAGCCCACAAGATGAGAAGGATCGGTAGTGTTAACACGATCCGCCAAGAGGGCAACGGGCAATGGGCGACGCAGCCTTAATTAGATTTGACAAGGCCGACCTTTTAAGATTCTAAACTCCATATGAAGACCCATTGGTAATCAGCTTAATGGTGTCAAACTGCTTGGTCAAGAGAGTCTTAGTTGACCCAGGCAGTAGTGCAAATATCATAACGATGGTGGCGTTTGAGCAGTTGATGATAGACCCAAAGCAAGTCAGACCCACAGGGAATCCCTTGGTAGGTTTTGATGGGAAACGAGTAGAACCCATTGAGTTGTCGAGCTGCCAGTCTGTGCAGCAAGGAGAAATGTAACGACCTTGGATTTTTCAACCCAGTGTGTCCTGTGATGACCCGAAACGGATCCAAAATGCGGAAGCTAAAGGGAAACAAGACAATGGTCTCCCAAGGCACAAAGCACCTCTAAGACCTTAAGATGACCTGCCATGATGTCATGGAACTCAATGAGAACTGACGCGGGAGCAAAAGATCAGAAAAATAACAATTAAGTCCTCAGGGGCAAAATGGTCATTTCCAAAAATATGGATTCAGGTGCTACCGAGCACACCACTAGAAAGATAATGAAAAACTAATCAAGATGGATTCAAGAATCGTATAATTCGGAGTCCGGATGAAAAAGAAATGGCAAGATGAAGAAGATGAGCACTAAAGGCTCAAAGGGTAAAATGGTAATTTCAAACTGAAATGGATACCCCCCGTGTATGCCACTGGATAGAAAATGAAAAATTAACCAAGATGGACTCAAGAATCACTTGATTCGGAATCCGGACGGCAAAGATATCAATTCCTGAAGTCGAAGGAAGGGAAACCCTATCCCGGTTCGAACCAAATCCCAACACTTCTTCACTAAAACTTGAAGAACTTGAGTTACAAATGGAATTTAAATATCTAACTGGTACCATTGGAAAGCTTATTTCGACGCGGTCAGTTTAGACACAAGAACGGACCAATTCCGAGTTAAAACGAGTGAGATATGGCCCGTTGAAGAAAGGTGTCTGGAGCAGGAACAGTAACCGCGGGGGCCCGCCCAAAACCCGTGGGCGCCCGCCAAAATCGGCAGAACCATGGGAAATGGTGCGGAGCAGCCCTGTGCATGGCGGGGGCCCGCCCAAGACCAGAAGGCGCCCGCCCAAATGGGTAGAACCCTGGGTCAAATGCAGAAACAGTGTTTTAGCAGAAAAATGAGTTTGCGATGCGGTTTTCGAGGCGAAGATGACATTTTTCAGAAAAACACGAAAAAGAAACTCCCCCTAAAATCACATTTTCTATGTGACGAAGTCAAGTAAGGAATTTCTTTCCCAAAGTAAATACCCAAAATGCCTTTAAGCTAGAATTTTCAACAAAAAGGTGAAGTGAATCCGTAAGAGGCTCAAAACACAAACGAAAGGGTTTTTCATGGAAACAATCATTCACGCAAATGTAACTAACCTATTAGGACGTGCTACAATGGTCCATGACTTAAAAATACCACCGATGCAAAATCCGACCCCCCAACGGGCAAAAAGGCAAAAATGGAACTTGGAATGAAAACTCGGAATCCAAAAATACAAAACGGGGTCAAATGACTGTTTGGCCCTTGGCCACACTTCAAACATGATTTATAAAACCCTATGAAAGAATGAAAACGGAATTCCCACATCCGATGCAACCATGGTTAGACAATGACTTAAAAAAAAAAAAAAAAAAAAAAAAAGGCGTTTTTCAATATTTTCCTAATATCTCAAGAAGTTAGAAGTTACAAAAAAATTCAATATACCTATCAATGGCCTCCAGCCTCATCTCATACATGTTGAATACATTAAACGAAGTGCACTTAAGTACACATTACATACATGGAATCAAAGAATACAAGTTTTACATATAAGTCTACAGAATAACATTTCATGTAAACATTTGCATGAAATGGAAACTTGAAAGCTACACGACATCCAAGGAATGCTAAGCATCACGAACCAAGTCTTCTTACGTGAAAT